AATAGATAAATATAATGATCCTCCTATAGATAGAATGATTATAAATAATCTGATGTACACTTTTGAGCATTCTTAAATTTGAAATTCTGAAAAAAAAATTGCCGCTACTCCTGTAAATAAATACTTGTCATAAAAAAAACCCTTACAACCGTTTGACTTCATTATAATAATATCCATCAAAGGACATATGAAACAAAATTAGATTGTTTTTTTTAGTGCCTCTCTTCCATTTAACATTCCTTTTCTCGCACTTCCTGCCTGTGGAACTCCTTCTGATTTCAAAATATATAAATACATTTAGTACAATCTTCAGAGTTTAAATAGAACATCAATCGCCATCTTCAGTCTTTCTAAACTTTGTTCCTACATGTCCCTTTTTTGCTTCTTCCCGCTTTTAAAATTTTCTTAATATGATTTTTCTCCCCTTGAAAAAGACAGCCTGCGCCGTGGTGACATTATCGCCCTGCTTGGGGTGAAACGACAAAAACATCTTTCGTATCTCTGATAATATTCATCAGAAAATTTGTTTTACAACAAAATAATTAAAAAAAAAAAAATCTGCATCCGGCTCAACAATTATCCCCACACAATAGTTTCTAATAATTTGAAATATAACCATTACCGTCTACCTGTATATATAAAATTGTCAATTAAAACACAATTTTTCTTTTAAATGGGTAAAATTTAATTGCGTATAAAATATAAAATAGTCTATCGCCGTGTTTAATTTTGACGTCCACTTTAATTTTTATTTGAAAAAAACACACACATATTCAATTATTTTATATATATATATATATATATATATATATATATATATAAGTATATATAATATATTTATAAGGTGAAAAATTTTTTTGAAGCTAAGATTAATCGTCATGAAAAGTGCTGTTATTTCTCCTCTATTTAAATTTGGTATGTTTTTAATTTTGGTATCTATTTTGGCGGTTAGTTATGTTTAGAAATAAACATATAATATGTATAGTAAAATTTGTTCGCTGCCGTAACGACAACTGGTGGCCTGATCACTCTTTCTAAAATGAAACTTTTATATTACACAGTAGACATATCTATGATGTTGAAAAATTTTATCCCAAAAATAAAACACCTTAAGACTATATATTATATATATATTCACTACTACGTGAACCTAAATTATACATCTAATTATTAGTTTATTTCAACATTTAACCTATATATATATATATATATATATATTAATGAAAAAATTTATATGAAAAGATGAATCAATATAAAAACAGATTTTAAACAAATGTCAAAAAAATTTCAACTTTTTTTTTTTGTTTAACTTAAAAATGAACTCTTGAAATTAAAAACAAATTTCTTAATGGAAAAAAATATTATAAATAAGAAAATAAACAGGCCGACGTGTTTGTCTTTTTATTTTTTTTTTTTTTTAGAATACATTTTTTAATCAAGCAAAAATAAATGTTTTATATTAAATTTAAAACGCATCGTTTTATCATTAAATATATATATATATATATATATATATATATATATATATATATATATATATATAGATAAACCGCAAATATTTTTTTATTGTATTTTTTTTTGGTTTAAGAGATTTCCAATTTATTAAAAATAATTAAACCTTATGTTTATCGATTATTAAAGTTTCTCGATATGATTAATTCTCTTTTGCGTGTTAGTGACCCATATCATTTTTTAACTGGCTGCAGAAAAATCTTTTGAAGGTTTTAAAAATTAAGATTGGTCCGATAAATTATGAAGAAGTTATAATATTCAAAAAGATTAATGGCCGTGTAAAAACGATCTATTTTTATTTTGTTAATTTTTTTTTTATATAAAAAATTTAACATAATATTCACCTCTATACAAGGTTCATTTATATATATATATATATATATAATATATATATATTTATAAATATATATTTTATGTGTGTGTGTGTGTGTTTGTGTGTAAAAAGGTATTTTGTGTATGTGTGTGCGTGCTTGTGTGTAATGTGTACAGGTTTGTAAATGTCATAATTGAATATTTTATAATAAATAACTTCTATTGATAAAATTAAAATTGTATAAAATTTATAATATGAAATTCAACTGAATTTATCAATATATCGATATATTGATTAAATAACAAGAATAATTATAAATTAACAATATTATTTATAAAATAAAAATGTCTTTTTAATAAATAAATTTCTTTGTCCATTTCTTAATATATGACGTCATTTGTTTACATTTGATACGCCAGAGCAGTTATGAATGTACGAGATTCATGGAAGATTGAAGTTTATAAACAGTAAATTCGACCTTGTCTACCGAAAGGTTCTTTGTGGCCGAGAGGTCAAGGCACGTCAGCGTATATGACGGTTCCGTATAGGATGCAGGTTCGAATCCTGTCAAAGAACGAATATTTTCTATGAAAATTTCTCGGACATTCAGGCCGGTAAATGTTATTTAATACTGTTTATCATAAACAGAGCATTTGCTTAAATACTTGTATCTATAAATAACAACGTTAAACATAAAAATGTCTTTAATAAATAAATTGTATACCTTGTCCATTTCTATATATATATATATATATATATATATATATATATATATATCATAATAAATATTATGAATATCGATATCATAAATGAAATATTTGAAAAACAAGCAAAAATCTAATTTGCGATTATTTAACTTTAATGTTTAATGTCAAAATCTGAATATTTAATTTCCTCTAATAGACCATCTTCATGATAATCATAAACCATAATTAACATTTACCATATATAATTCAACATAAAAAGACGATGTACATAATGAATACCAATCTAAACAGATAACTGAATTATAATTTTATAAGATCAGCGTTCCGTTTAAATAAGATCTGAATTAAAATGTTTTATGAATATGTCCCTATTGACCGATGGTCTTTTATACCATTGAAACGTTATCCCTCGTTTCCAAATTAAACGTTAAAAATATTTCTCAAATATTCAGGAAAATTTTTTTTTTTTTAAACGATTAAATATTTTTTTCATACTGTCGGATCTATATCCATATATTTGCTTTTAATTAGAAACACAATTTTATATAGGTTACAACTAGTAGTCTCATGAGCAAAATAACCTGTTTTTCATCACCCTTCTCCAACGCTTTTTTGATTCAGAGATTTCCTTCTATGATGGCTGCCAATATATATATATATGCCCGTTTATTTATGAAACAGTATATTTATTTATTTTCGTCTACCGTCCATAATATTCGAAAAATTACTCTCTCTGTTAAACCCGTTAAAAAGTCTGAAGTGTTAATAAAAATCCATTATTTTCTTTTTGTTTCTATATGTATATGTGCGTGTCTGTTATCTATGTTTAATATGTTTAAAAAAAACTCTAAACTAATTCAGTTTCTTTTTCCCTGGTTTCGCCATCTTGACACAATTTATCGTAAGATTCACTGAAAAACCCTTTGCGTTATTCAGCTAGAAAAGGACAGAGTTAAAAATCGTCTTGTGTCCATGATCACTATTTCTTCTCAGCTGAGCAATGGTGAGAGGAAAGGTCATTTAGGCCTTGAGTAATGGCATCAACATTCAATTCTCTGTTTCCATCTTAAAGTCCATTCAAGAACGATCAAGAGAATGGTGAATAAGTTTAAAAAGGGAACAGTAGATAAAAAAACTGGATCACAAGGTCCACAAATGAAGTGGGGTATCATTTCAACTTAGAGCTAAAGAGATCAATTAAGAAAAGAGTTCCAACTCAATCCATAAGACGTTTGGCATATGAGGAAAAAGTTTCATCTATGACAGTTCAAAGAGCAGTAAAAAAAAGACTTATAAATGAAATCGTATAATTTCGTGTGAGGCACCTTGTTACTCAAGGACAGAAACTTAGAAGATTAGAGTAGGCGAGGTTGAATAAGTTGGAAAATTATCCTAGAATAATATATATATATATTTGAACTGTATTTCAATCATTCATGAGCTTCTGATCCTGAGCTATGATTAATTAATGATGATGTCATTTTCGTTCATGATCGATTTCATCACGATTCTTCTGTTAAGCTTGGAGAGTAATTATACATTCTTATTGCTCAAGTAGAGTCCAATGGTGTTATGAAAACCTCGAAAAAATTCCAGTAAGATATCTTTAATCATTTCTCAGATACAACGGTTAACGCCTAATCTAACAAATCGACAATTATACTTTTACACAATTTGGACAATTTTACTGTTACATACCGGTTATATATAGTTATAATTGAAATATATATTCATATATTGATGGAAAACTATAAAAAATGTGAAAGGAGGGTTTTAACGAAATAAAAAAAATACCGTGGTAATATTTGAAATGTAATTATTAACAAAATAATAAAAATGGGTAAAAAATCAATTTAGTCGTTTCTCATTTAACATTAGTTGCCCCCTCTGTCTTTCTATAAAATAATCTTTCAATTTAAGTGAATTAAAACTTGTTTAAAATTCCCAAACTGTTACATTTAAAATTGATGTTATCAAAATCTAATTAAATCAATAAAACTTTCACTGTCACAAACGTTTTAAAAAATAATTTGTTCTAATCATTTTGTCCTTCATGTCTCCACCTCTTGTCAATGGAACTTTTGAGAAACCTAAAATTTTAAAATTATTAAAAAAATTTCAGCTAACTCAAATAAATTACAATCAAATCTCCATATTTTTATGAATTTTTGTTATTTTTCTTGTTAAAATTTGTGATAAAAAAATCTAATGTCAATTAACATCTCTAGATTTCCTCTATTTTTCCAAAATTTTTTCCCTCTTTCCAGATTAACCATTCGTGTTTTGTTCATCCACCACTAAGACAGATAAAAATAAATATTAGAAAATTCTTGGAAAAATTAACAATTGTTTTAAATAATCCCTTTATTGGCTTTGGATTTCATTTTGAGAAGGTAAATTGTCAAGAAGTCCCGAAAAGCCATTCGTTTTTAAAATACAACAATATTTGTGTTGTATAGAAAAACCCTATGGATATCCGTGGGCAATGAATTTGCGAAAAAAACCAGTGTTCTATTTGCGAAATCTTCCTTTGGTTTTATGATGTTTTTTCATTTTTTAAGTCATTCGTGTCTACAAAGGGGACATTTACCCATATGCCAGCATTAGATAAAACTCTTGGGCAAAAAAATTTGCCTAAATATCCCATCCCTTTAAAATCTTTCTCCAAATTTTTCAATTTCAAAAAATAAAACAGGTTATCATTTTCAGACAACAGGATGTTTTCGTGCTCAACAACCACACAGCCGGAAGTGTTCAAGCATATTTATTTTTCTGGACATTAAGTCTTATTCATGTTTAATAGTTATGAATCGTTGAATTTGAATTGGTTTATTTAAAAAATCCTTGAAGCTAAACAATTTTCGTAAAAGTTTAAATAATATATGCTTATTTTATTTTCCTAACCTGAATCTGTTTCAAATAAAAAAAAATTTCTATATATATATATATAAGATATATATTTTTAAATTCGGTCTGTAATCTCCTATTATATGGATTTCTTTGTAGTGTTATCAATAACCGAATGAAATTATAATATTTTTTAATATAATGGCTATATATTTAATCGAAAGATATATAGGTAAATTAGTCTTTGACGATTTGTGCATCTAAAAATCATTTTAAAATATAACTTTTGAACCACTTTTTAAAATATATTTTTCCATTAAATCATGAAATGTTTGAATTCATTTTTGTTTGCATTTTAAAGATAAACAAAAGAAAGATAATTTCCTTCATTAACAAAAGGTAAAATTAATAATTTAAGAAAAAAAAACAAATATTTGTATTTGTCATTGTCTCATAATTAATATCTCTCTATATTTTTAAATTTATGTTTAATTCTCTCTTTTTTTTTTGTCTTTTATTTTTATAAATTTATTTTTTTTGAAAACCGAATTTAAATATTTTTTTGTATTTAATCATCTTATTTGATGTAGGACTATCTCTCTCTCTCTCTTTTTTCAAATCATAAAAACTGTTCGTTTTATTTTCAATCAGAGATATTTTTTAACTATCTATTCAATCACATAGATCATCTATGATTTATTTTCCAATTTCTGTTCATTATTCAAAACTGTTCCTTTTTATCAATCTTTTAAATCTATCTTTTTGTCATTAATTTCAAAATAATTAATCTATCTAAATAGTTTTTATCTAAGTCTATCTATCTATCTATTTATCAAAGATCTATTCATCTTTAAACTGAATTCTATAGATATCTCTCTATCTCATTCTTTTAAATATTAATAATCTAAAACATCTCATCATCAAGCAGGCTATCTCATATAATCTTTCTAAATCTCTTTTTTCCTCTAATCCCTATTTATCTTATCTCATTATTTAAATTGGTGATCTATCTATATAAGTATGGATTTATTATATCTCAGAATCAAGTCATAAATACATCTATCACCTATATCTATCTATCTATCTTTTTATATTTGTCGTAGGATTTACTATCTCAATATCTAATTATCTATCTATCTTTTCATTCTCTTCATTAATCTATCTCTTTCTTAAATTCATATCTATCTATCTATCTATCTATCTATCTATCTATCTAACTGTTCTCAGTTCCTTGCATGTCTATTAGATATATCTATCTTCTAATTTCTCAATCTCTTCATATTATCTAATCTCCTATTATCTATCTATCTCCAAATTGAATCTATTTATCTTCTAACTCAGTTCGTTGCTATCTATCTATCTATCTATCTATCTATCTCAGGTTCAATTTCTGTTGATCTATCTATCTATCTATCTATCTATCTTCGACATCTATTTTCTCATCGATTTTCAATTTCTTCTAAAATCTCAGCGCTATTTTTTTTTTTCTGAAAAATTCATCCAATTCAATTGCTGAAAACCATGGAATACTCGTTGCATTTCTGTCCCCAATACAAAAGCTAACCAAAAAAATTCTCACCTCGGTTAGTAATAATCAATATTTTATATATGAAAATATCACGTATATATAAATTCTATATTTGACATATATATTTTTCGAACGGAACCTAAAACTTAAAAATGATTTTATTGATCAATTTTTCAGTTAAAATCTGTCGCATATAGAAATAAAATTATTTTTAATCCTCTTCTCTCTCTGTTTTTCTCTAATGTAAATTTCTTTTATGTATCCTTAAGTTTTTTCTTTTCTTCTTTTAATTCTCTCTCTCTCTCTCTCTGTCTCTGTCGCGCTCTCTCTCTCTTTCACACACACAGCAATTTTTTTAATTCTATCTCTCTCTCTTTTTCGCTTTCTTTCCACCTACCAATTTATTTTGAATTTATTTCCCTCTCTCTCTCCCCCCCTTCTCTCTCTCTTTTTGATCCAATATTTTTTTTAGTTGCGTTTCTCTCTCTCTCTCTCTCTTTCTCTCTCTCTCTCTTTCTCTCTCAGTCTCTCTCTCTCTCTCTTTTTCTCTCTCAGTCTCTCTCTCTCTCTCTCTCTCTCAGTCTCCCACCATAACATCTTTTTTATCATCTATTGTGCTTTTATTTTCTCAAAAACTAGTTTCCTTCCCATCCAATAATCTTTTTTGTTTAACTTTGTCTCTCTCTCTATCTCTTTCTCTCTCCCCCCTCTCTCTCTCTCTCTCTCTTTCCTACCACCATAATTTATAACTTCTCTCTCTTTCTGTCACTCTCTTTCCGGTCCACTATCTTTTTTGCGTTTGTCTTTCTTTTTCTCTTTCCCACCATCTTTTTTTTTTTTGCTTTGATCAATCTCCTTCTTTCTCACCCCAATGGTTTTTCATTTATTTTTTATAAATCTCTCCCTCTGTCTCTTTTTCAAAAAAATTTGCATTTCTCTCTCTCTCTCTCTCTCCCCGATCTGAATCCTTAAGAGTAATCTCATTTTTACCCCTCTTTCATTTCTCTGTAAATTCTCACACTCTCTCTCTCTCTTCTTTCTTTATATCTCTCTTTCCATCCTCCAAATGTCATCTACCCTACCCCATTCTCAAACATTTTCCTACCCTCTCAACTACCCCCCCCCGGCCCGCTCCTCAGTGCAGTTGAACAATCTCCGTTCTTTGGGCCAATAGGAATATTTTAAAGACAAGCGAGGCATGTCTGCGAGATGAACATAATAAACCATTCCACCTAAAATTTATTTCAGCTCACATGTATCCATTCTTCTTTCTCCTCTTCCTTTATTTTTATTATGTCAAATGACCATAAACCCCAGGCACTGATTTAATTGCACAAAAATTCTTCCCTATAAATTTACCAACCACCTCCAGTGCTTCTTTCCCTCCCACCACTTCTCTCTACAGTCACCGTGATCTCTGACGTCACTTATCGCTGGTAGAATTGTCCTTTTTTTCTCCTCGACTGAAGCAATTTTCAGATCAATAGTTTAAAGTCTTCTTCTTTAATTGAACTCAGACTTTTTCACAGAAAAAAATCAAAAATCATATTGTTTCCTAATGGCGCTCGTCGCTCGTTAAGAAACGTAACCGAATAGCACACACTGGTTTTAAATCTATACTACTATTAAAATCGCCGTTCCACTGACATTAGCAAAAAAAAGTATTTGCATCTTCTTTCAGTTCTTATGCCTGGACAGAGAAATCTATTCTTTATATTTACAGTAATGTTCAAGACACAAGTGTCACTCAAGGTAGAGGGTTATTAATTGAGGGTATAAAGTGGATGAGGTTATTTCATTTAGTAGACATAACATAGTGTGTTATAGCAAATGTCTAAAATACCGAAAGTAAAGAATGGAACTTATCTGAACCTTTGCCATGGAAATAGCGATAAAGTAAACGATAGGCTTGAAACGTGCTTGTGGAAAAGATGACATGTTATTTTGAACTCCGTCAAATTTCGAAAGTAAAAATTGAGCAGATCCAGCCTAGACATGCTACCGTTCTTGTTTTTAAATTATTATTATTATTATTATTATTATTATTATTATTATTATTATTATTTTTTCTTTGATTTCTGGCGTTTACACATTTCTTTCCGGGTCCCGCCCAGGGACCTAAGGTTAGAAATGGCATCATGACACTTTCCACTGACAAAAAAAAAAAAAAAAAAAAAATTTACATAGATAAAGCCCTTCGTAAAGTGTGTGGGCTGTACTTGTCAGAACAATTTTTGTATCTCCTTGAGGCATGGACTTCCAGGAATCCCTTCAATTAGTCTACTGCAATCTTTTCCAACCAGTCCTAGGGCTCCAACTACAACAGGGATTGTTGATGTTCCCATATGCCACATTTTCGAGATTTCTATTTCAAGGTCCTTGTATTTTGACAACTTTTTGAATATCTTCAAAGATACATTGCAGTCAGCAGGGACTGCCATATCAATAAGGAGGCATCGTTTTTGTTTGTGGTCTTTAATAACAATATCTGGGCGGTTGGCCTTGATTGTTCTGTCAGTGTGTATTGTGTAGTCCCATAGAATTGTAACAGGTCCTATCTCCGTAACTGGGTCAGGGTGGTGTTCATACCATTTTCTTTCAGTTTTCTTCCCGTAGAAGTTGCAGATTTTCCAGTGTAGATATTGGCCCACTCTGTCATGCCGGGTTTTATATTCAGTGGGTGCCAATATCGTGCAACCTGATACAAGATTATTATTATTATTATTATTATTATTATTATTATTATTATCTACCTCTTGGTGGAAGTAAAGAATGGAGCTTATCTGTGCATTTACCATAGAAATACGGATAAATCTAACAGGCTTAAAACGTTGTGTGTGTGGAAATGTTTGTAACCTGGATTATTCAATTTCCCCCATAAGTTCACGTAATTGATTTTGACCTCGATGAAGGATCGAAGGCGAAAAAAAGCAAAAAAATTTTTAAATATGGTATTTTTGCCACCATATCAATGCCAAAAATCGTTTACTGCAAATTGTGAAGGACTCCTCTCCGGTCTTTTAAACAGGAGTAGAGATTTATCGCTTGACTCATGTTTAGGATTGGATTTCCGGTTCCTTTTAACGTCTTCTAACGTGTACACCTAATCTCTTAAATGCTTTTTTTTCCTCAATTGGAGTAAATAGATTTTCCTATCGTTTGGTTCACGCTCCTGCTCGGTCTTTTGAACAGGAGTAGAGGTTTATCCCTTGTTTCCAGTTTAGGATTGGATTGCTGGTTCCTTCTAAAGTCTACTTCAACTCTATACTTCTAATGTCTCCATCTAATCTCTTCAATGCTATTTTTCCTCAATTGGAGTAGATAGGTTCGCCTATCGTTTAGTTCACAAACGTCCAATTTATTTTGATCAGGAGTAGAGATTTATTCTTCGTTTCCTGTTTAATATGAACACTACCTTACGAAAACTGAGATGTAGTATATATATATATACACATACACATATATATATATATATATACACACACACACACACATATATATATATACATATATAAATATGTTTATATATATATATGTATATATATATGTATATATATATATATATATATATATATATATATATATATATATATATATATATATATATATATATATATATATATTTCATAAAAAGTAAAAAATACAAATAAAAATAATTAAATTTAATGTAATTAATGGAGAATTCACTTCTTTTTTAATTTTAATAAAGCATTAACTAAATAACCACTCATTGAATGACGCGATCTTTGTTTTTTATTAAATTGTAAAATGGATTAGATGTTCAGTTAATTTCCAGGTACTTTCGATGAATACTTTTATCATCTTCATATATATATATATATATATATATTATATATATATATATAATAGATAGATAGATAGATAGATAGATAGATAGAAAAAATAAATTAAGAATACATGGAGTATAATTCAACTGTACTTAACATTTAATATAAAAAACGAAGAGTAAATTTCTAAATAGTATTAAAACATGTTCATATATATATATATATATATATATATATATATATATATATATATACATGTATTTTAAACTAAACATCAGAAGTCCTTAACAATGTAAACATAAGAAAACTTTTAATTTAATAATTTTAAGTAAGTCGTATGTTTTTATGCTAATTATAGGTTTTAGTGTATGTCTTCACAAATAAATATGTTCCTTTGTCATAACCTCTTCCGCCAGTTTACCTTGAAGATCCATTTAGATGAAACCTACGTAGGTAGTTTCTGGCTCACTAGGATATATATATATATATATATATATATATATATATATATATATATATATATTTATATTTTATATTGAAATTTTAAAATAAAATTAAAAAATGAAAATAGGACTTTACATTTGCTGCACACTGTGCGTATATATATATATATATATATATATATATATATATATATATATATATATATTTAATTGAACACTGAAGTCAACACTCAGAGGCAACAGGCTGTTTCATGCTGGGCGCAATCGTCAGGCCGCCAATGCTAGATATTTTTTCGGCTATTTATATATATGGGTTAGTGGTGCATTGTAACAAACTATTAAATAAGCGATCTAAGCAAATCCCTCCCCATTTTTTACTACGTTAATAAAACATCAAAAAACAAAAAACGAAAATAATAAGTAATACAAAATGAAAATGAAAAACTATAAATTAACCCAAACTAATAAATAAATGAATAAACAAGCCAGTCCCGCAAAAATAACCGCCAGAATAAATTACCCACAATACACCACTGATCCATATATATAAATAGCCGTGGAAATATCTAGCATTCGCGACCTGACGATTGTGTCCAGCCTGAAACATCCTGTCACCTCTGATTTTGACTTCAATGTTCACTGTTATATTTACATACGTTCTATCTCTGATATTGAGCACTTTATCCCATAAATATAGTACACCTTAAAACTATATTTCTTAATATATATATATATATATATATATATATATATATATATATATATATATATATATTAAAATTTAGTTTTAAATTAAAATTATATTTTTTAAATAATAACAAAAATACTTAAGAAAATTTGGATTATTTACCTAACAGGTTCTTTCCTATTTTCTATATATTTTACACACACACATCTTGCACATACACACACAAACACACAAAAAAACACACACATATATATTATATATATATATATATATATATACATACACACACACACACATATATATATATATATATATATATATATATATATATATATATAATAAAATATATTTGAACACTAATATTCCATGGTTATAATTTATTACATTGGAATCATAAAAACGATTCAATTCATCAGACCTTTTCAAATTCAAAAAAAATCTTTTTTATAACTCCAAAAATAAAATAAAATTTAGTGATCGTGTATGTATGAGAGTCGGGGACGAATGTCAGAAGTGAATGAAAGCTCTAGAAATGGGGGGTAACAGACGAAAGAAGAACAGAAAGGCCTTAAAAACGAAGGTGGGGAATTAAAATTTAACAGAGAGAAGTTTTTAAAAGAGGAGTTAAATGACAGTTTAAATGAGTGAGATACAGATAAATATGAATTGTTTTTTCCGATGCATAATTCATTACTGAATCAAATGACCTAAATTAAATTAAAACCGACACCGGAAATGGGTTATACATTTGTGGTGACACTACGTTACAATAAAAGACGATATAATCTAAACTTAAAAATTTGAAGATGAGAGAAAAAAAAAAAAAAAAGAGGAAAATGGGGAGGACAAACTAAAAATTTATAAATTTTTCCACTGTCAATCAAGAACATTTGACAAAAGTATATATATATATATATATATATATATGATATAAACATATAAAAAATAACGAATATTTAATCTAGCAAGGACCTACTATTTTTATGCCCCAAAAAGATACGTATATACACACATACACAACATATTTAATATTTACACGTATATACATACATATACGCTGAACACACACACACACACACACACACACACACACACACACACACATATATATATATATATATATATATATATATATATATATATATATATATTATGATTCCAAAAGTCCTGCGTATATATACATCTACACACATATACATACAGACATGCATACGTGCACATAAACATAT